ATTCTAATACTATATTTCTTATGTGATGGCAATAACTGAGTTGGAAAAACTACCTTAGAAAGGAGCCTTGCTGACTAAACTGGTACAAGTGTTTCAGTAAGATTGCACGATCTCAAATAAAATCTTTCTCATTGAGCCATTGGTTGCCTCAACATCATCTGATGAATATTGTTCAGGTGCCCAGAGGCCTAATGAACTAGCAAAACAGAGGCTTGTTTGACAACAAAATCTGGTGTTTCTTTCCCAGTATACATTGGCAGTGACTTACACACAACCTGCATTAATTACATGCATCCCTGAGGGAGTGTTAACAGTGTGGTGACTATTGCCAGACTAAACACATTGTACATGTAATGCCATGCAGAATATACACTGTTAACATTTTTAAATGAAATGAAATTCAACTTTACACATCAAGCCTCTTTGTTGCCATATATTTGTGAAACAAGGTTTAAATTATTATACCCTGCTAATTTATCTTAAGAGAGCAGTAATCTATTTACATAAAAATACATGTTCGTGCAATTTTGCAGATGTTTTTTTTAATACTGTAAGTCATTTGAACACAAAGGTGCCACCTCCGTGGCTGCACTTTGAATCTATGGAGATTCAGGCCCTAATAGGGGCAGTGCAAGTGGTCCAATAGATACTTTTCACCACTGATAGAACCGATAGAAAACCTTTTTCGCTGGATGTTCCTGGGTTTTGAATCTGTTTTCACAGCCGCCAGTAATCGGTGAGCCTGCTCTCTGCATTGAAGCTGCTCAGCAGCTCCCCCTGGTGTTGATCTGCCCTCCGTGCTCTGCAGTCAAAACACAAGAGCTGGGAAGCGCTGCAGGCTGATGCCCCAGGAGTAACGGAAGTACAAGAGCAATCAATCCTGCTGAGCTCGGCGCCAGATCCATTACTCACTTGCTTCAGGTGTAAAATAATTATCTGCAACAGCAATCACTTATCAGATGCTCAAGATGTGGAAAACCTAGGGTGTTTCTACTGTGTATATGTAATTTATTATTACATGCCAGGACACTCAAGGACAGAATTATATACCTTATATTACCTATGTGAGGAAATAACCCCTTTACTCGCTCTCCATCTGCTTGCTTGTTGTAACAAGCACAGCTTAAGGGTTCACACATCCTGGCCATTAGGAACAAAAGCTACCATCTGAAAAGTATTGATGTAAACATCCTTATGTAACTTGAGCTTTATAAACACAAGCTTGTTTATTCATATTGTTGCTAGTTAGGTATTTCGAAAATGGCATTACTCTACTGTCAACTCTTTCCACATTTTTGCAAAAATAAAAATACATAAAGAAATTTGTTCCTCATTTTGGTAAATACACTATAAACAACAATGATTTGGCGGCTTATATTTTTACTGAACGTTCCTTTCAAGCACCATGGTAAAAGGATGCCATTTTAATTTATTGAACAGTTATTTCTGTGACTCTTTTAATGAAATTTCATTTCTCCTGGCAATTCTGTCTGACCAAGAGTAACTCATATAAAAGTCTCATAATTGAAGTGTGTGGCTGCATTTATATCCCACATCATACAGTATATACTTTCTTTTGCCCTTCAAAAACATCTCCATTTTATTTTTGTCTAAAATAATTAGGATGCCAAAAATAACACAAACCAAAGAGTTATGCAATACACGCACTAGGCAGAATCTCAGAAAAAATCTAATCCGAAACGTAAGCGGTATGCTGTATGTTGCTCTTGGGCTAACATATTTGAAAGCGAGTTAAAAGTTATACGTAGCTTCAATATAACTCAGTTCTAGACTGGACAAAAGAAGATTGCGCATCTAACTATAACACTTAATGACGCTTTTGTATTACTGGTATTACTGGTGGCACTATGAATTATCAACCCTAGACAGGCTGGACAGAGAACACATGATATTGTTACATCTTGTCCTGCTAGGATACCTCCAGTATATTTGACAAATGTTAATGATAGAACATGAAGAAATTAAAGATACTGTCTTTGACACTGTAAGGTTCTGTCTGAACTAAAGTTGAAATTCTTATTCACTGGCTTTTTCAAATGTACTGTATATAGTACCAATCCACATGATCACTCAGTTTCAGTTATTGATTGTGTGATACAAATACTAAACTCTGTGGCTCTGGCTTCACATGTAAGATGTCTGTTGAACCAAACTGGAGACACATAAATCACAACGGATACGTAATGAACATCCAGTCCTCCATTTCAAGCTGTTCACTGATTACTTTGTATCTAAGTGCCTGCTTCATACATTTTATGGAAACGGATTAATATGTTTTTGTACCCATATAATGCCCTTGTGCGTTTGAAAAAATAGAATTGTAGAGCAACACAGCATGTATAGCTTCTTTATTTCTTATGACATTGGTATGTTGCATTACATTGCATTGCTACTGTATATATTGCTGCTGAAGGGAGGTAGGAACTTTCACTGAAGTTAAAAATGTTACCTTGGTACTTATTTATACCCCTTACCTCCCTCATGTGCTTGTTTGATAGTTAAAGCAGCAGGAGCGTCTTCTACATTCGTCGTTTTCCTTTAAAAATGGTCCATAGAACTGCTGCTTCGCTTCACAACACTTTTTGAAGCACTGGACAACACGGGGCAGTTGACAGAAGAATGTGAAGCACAAAAAATAAACATACATAAAAATAATGACAGCCTTATAACAAAATGGTTTTATAGAAATGGGTCATTCTAAAACTTCTGAGTGTCAAGCCGAAACACTGCACATAAACTCTTCGAGAATCATCAAGTTATCATAAATAATATATGAAATAACTGTGACATTTCATACAATAATTTTTTCCACTCCGCTTTCACCTCCTAAAAGGTCAGAAGAAACTCATTTGTTGTTGTTTTTTCATGTGAAGGTGTGTTTGGTGTTTTAGCACTAATTGAGCTTACTAACTTACTAATTTGAGCAAACACATTGCTCCAGTGTTGATTTTATCTGTGTAGTTTTCCAATTTTCTTATTTAAAGTTCTCTTAACATATCAGCTTCCCATTGTTACTCTGGTTGGAGGTTTGTGTTTTAGGTTTCCTTGTGTTTTGTCAGGTAGACCACACACCGATCTGCAGGAGCTGTGGATAGACAACTACTACAACTTCCCAGGTAGGCTTCAGGCCAGTCACTTCTTTATATGCTGAAATTAGGAAATTGAATGAGAAAAGGGTTTGTGCTAATACAATTCCTGAGTGACTGAGCACACTGTTGTACAGACAACCAAGGTTCGGTTCGATCCCAGTGTCTCCAAGTGATATGGATTACATCCTGCCTCGGAAACAGACTTTGAAAGTGACCTCATTAATATATTTTTTATTTACAATGTTTTACAGGCCAGGGATAATAATTAAAGAACAAAAAGGCAGTGATACCACTGTGTAGACAATGCAAGCACAACATAGGATTGTAACTGTTGCTCACTTACATGATCAGTTAGGAGAAAATTTAAGTGGTTTTCTATTTCCAATTTTGTAGATGCCGAAAAAAACAAACTGAAATAATGAAATTCTCTATTACAATTTGTAGTGCTTTAAGCAATTAATTCACTAGAGGGCAGTCTCTCGTGTTAATAGTTTTCTGTTCTTTAAATATTGTACAGTAAAATAAGCTGAGCCTGTTATAGGACCGAGAAATACAAATAGAAAGTGTTGTTTAAAATATGTCTTACCTTTCCCAAAAAGTTGGTTACAAAACACTGCTACAATTGTTGTGCCTCATGATTAGTAGATTTCTTTAAAAAATCTATGTTGAATGTACTTTTGCTAATCAAAACTTCTTATTAGCTATCAAGACACAGTGACATGATAAACCATCAAGCTGGAGGTGTCTGATTCATCACGTGTGCATCTTTTTCCTTATGTTCCTCAGTCATCCCATCTGGTTAGAGACCTTTCCCCTAGTTGAAGGGAGAAGTGCTAGGTTTTGACAGTGTTTAGACCGTTGTACAAAGTTACATTTGCACAAAAGCAAATTCAATTTCTACGTGTCTTATCACTCTGGCTCTTACTTTGTTTTTTGAGCTCAAGGTCTTTATTACTTGTACATGACACACTACGTGAAGTCCTGATTCTGATTCTGAAAAAGTTTGCTATTCGTAATTACAGGGCTGTAATCAGATTTACATATGATTCATGGAAGTGCATGCACACTATTCAGGAAATTTGCATATGTGGAGGATTCTCATTATCCTAAAAGGAACCACATTTGGCTTATTTTTAAGGATTTGACAAGTAATGCGATATGACAGTTTGCTAAGTTGCCAGGTTTCCCTAACCTGACAACTTAGTTTCTAGCAAATTCATAATTGCAGCTTCTGAGGTGTATACAAGACAGCTGCCAGTGTTCTTCAGATCCCTCACATAAATCATTCATTCATAAAACCTGAATAATTAAACCAGATGGTTCTGTTAGTAATGTTGGCAGTCATTTAGAGTTTTGTTCTTATTTGTTACAGTCATATATAAAATAATAAATTATATATCAGTATATGTGTTGTTTAGTGAAAGTTGCATCCAGTTATACAAATGATTACAATCCTTGCTTCATTATAAGTGTTTTTTAAATCCGATTTCTGGCTATCCCAGTAAAGGGTTTTAATGTTTCTGCTGTAGCAGGGTTTTTTTTTCCAATTATCAATGCCACACACATTTTTTACATTACTGAAAAAGCTCCTTCAAATAGCAGAAAGAAATTACCAACTCTTCAGTGTCAGGTTTAAAGTCTACCTTATGCATAAATTATAGTTCTGCATGGTGCTCATTGAGGCTTTGCAATTCTATTTTTTAAATGACCACTCAGTTCTGGCCAAATATCCTTGGAGAAACAGTCTTGATATCAATACATCCTGTGTTATGGCAACAGGAATGCAGTTACAGGTTTTGTTGTTACAGTACATTTCTCCAAATTCTTGCAACTACCTTTGATTTCAAGTGAAATTGTAGGTAAAGCTGTTTTTCAAGAGACATGGCTCTGTGAGCTCATGACAGGGAAGGGGAAAGCCGATTTGTTGATGAAAACTTGTTTTTCCGGTGCTCTCCCCATTTGTGGACATGTGGTCAATCTATTTCCTACAAGTCAACAGCCTCTACAAGTCCTGAGCTTCCTCCCATCACGCAGAAGAGGAGTGTGCTAGATAGAAACCAAGCTATTTGAAAAGCTTTGCAGCTTAGTCACAGACAGCAAGAGAATTAAAAACCTTTAAACCATTCATTTGTTTCTGTTTGTTTATGGTGAGTACATTCTTTTTTAATTTCCTTACTTGTTAAATGTTTACATTTTGGAAGAGAAAGGGGTATTCAGCTTACCGTTCTCACACATCTGAAACTAGCAAATGTTAGAAATATTACTCAAAGTCAGAAAAGGCTGAAGTGCCTCATATGTTGGGATTATTTGATTTGATTATCGTGACAAGTGATGTGAATTAAATATGCCTTTGCGACAAATCTGCACAACATACTGTAGTTTGGCCAGGAATTAAAGTTGTCAGAAAGCACTCCAATATACATGCACATTCCAAAAAGTAATCACTTCAGGACTTAGTGTTTGGAGAAGTAAAAAGAGAAACCTGTCATGCATAGCTGACATTAAAGTGTGCCTTTGTTTACACTCACAGATATGTACAGTGTGTCTGTTTTGTCTTTCTTTTGTTCTAGTTCTTGCTTCCTGCTTCTTTTTTTTAAAATGCCGGATGAGTATTGTCTAATTTCCAAGGTTTGGGTTAATCGATGGTTATTAGAAAGAATTTGCTAGTTTGTCGTGGAAGATACTGTATAAGTTTTAGTGTTAGTCAGGGATGTTAAGATTTCTCCTGTCAGTTGTAAGTCTCATTAAAACAGTATCTGACATTTTGAAATGCACTGTCTTGGATAAATATCTAGATAAATTACATTGCTGATTTTCCTACTAAAGTAATATGGTCATCCAGTTCTCACCATTATGGTTCTGCGTATTTGTATTTTGCATTGTTTATTCAACAAGGTGAAAACATTTCTCTTTCACTGGACATTTAAAGACTTTTTGCAGTGTTTAGATAATACACATTACAAGATGAAATTCATTTAAAGTTAGTTTTAATTTCATTATAGGAAAAAAAAAGGAATATATTTTGGTGTGTTATCTGTGCGTAAACAATTCAAACAGTTTATAGCTAAAATACCATTCCATGAAGCAGGAATGATTAAAGCCACAGTTTAAAAATGTTCAATATGCTGTGTCAGTCTAAAAGATGTAATGTAAAAGATTACGTGTTGCACTATGTGCACTTTATTGGGCTTTAGAAATTAATCATAAAAAAAGTTTGTCTTTTCTCTGAAACATGCTTAATAGTTATTGGGATAGGAAGAAATTGACAGTACAGTATGTTCATAAAACATTTTGTTACAGTGCATCTATTAATGGTATTTTAAAAGTCTAAATTCCCAGGCATCCTGTATTTTTTTGAGTATTTTCTCTAGACCTAACAATAACAGAACAAAACTATTTCAATGTTCATATAGTACCTCCATGTTGTACTGGTTTTATTAATGATATTTTGCAAAAAGGAATATGTCCTTAATAACTAACACAAAACAACATATACAAATAGTCTGAATACAAATGAGTTAAGAGGAGATTAGGTAAACACTAAAAATATCACACTCTTTTTGATCTTTTACTAATAACCACTCAATCTTAAGATGTAGGAGAAAATCATCCAACCGCCATTTAAGCTCTGCTTGATGAAGAAAGAAAATAAAAATGCCTAATAATAACTATGAGGCCAAACGAACAATCATATTACCACAACTAAGAAGGGAACCATAAAAATTTTACTTACATAAAATGTTATTAACCTTAGAGGACGTGTTTACTGTCATTTTATTGCGAACCATTGTGCAGCCTTGTGAAATCAGCCCAGCTTGGTCATAGTTGCATAGTTGTAGTTCTATATTTCACTGTATGACCTAATATTGGTACAAACTAATTACAGAGGGAACACAAGCAGAAATTCGTATTGGATAGTTTGCTGTCATAAATGGGATGGTGATGATTTATTTACTGATATGTGCTAGATTAAAAAGGAAAAACGGAATAATGACACCCTGAAATGTGACACAAATTTGACAAGATTATCTAGACAAACTGTGCAACATAACCCTAAAGTCTTCTCAGTGGCAGAGATCATAGACCTCTGCTGGTATTATATGAAGTATGTGATCTTTTACCCATATAAATGGTATTTATAATTTGGGTATAATTTGGCATAAATATTTAACCATGTTAAACATGTCAATTGTTGTGTTCAGTTGCCCCAGTTCAGGTGAGTGTAACCATTGGGACTGATGGCTGACAGGTATTTGTTTCTAATGCTCAGTTGTTTCATACAATACAAGAAAAGAAACACAACGTTTCGGCTATGGAGCTTTCTTTGGGTGTGCCTTCTTCTCACACCCAAAGAAGGCTCCACAGCCGAAACATTGTGTTTTCTTTCTTCTCTTTTCAGCATGGAATAAACCTTTACTTGGTTCTTTGCAGCCTACGCATGCTGACGCAGCTACCTACTTGAACTACAATACAATCATACTTTATTGTCTGATTTCTCAGAAATTTGTTTTGCATCCAACTTAATATGTTTATAGAGAGACTTAGAAGCAACATATAAACAATTCAAATACAATTTACATTACAAATAATTATAACTTTATGTTATGGTTATTGGAAGTGGCTATTCAAGTGCTTTAAGAATCTAGAGACAATAATTAAACATTTGCAGTTCTCA